TATTAAATGTGATGTTTAAAAGTTACTTATTTTCGCAAAACCTTTTGCTTAAATTAGGGCAAAAGACGATGACGTGACACTCCAGGTTCACGGAACTCGGGGCGTTACAGTTTTGGAATTTCAATATACAAGTAGATGCATACCCGTGATATGCCCATCAAACTGAGAAGCTGTCCAGATCCTAAAGACAGGGCCATAGCCTCAAAGATGCCAATGCCAGCAGCTAGTAGTAAGGCTGTGGATACAGAAGATAGCTGCAGCCTTTCCGTGGCAAGTATGAAAGATTTTCCATGGGCACCTTCCTCTTCATCTGTAAAACGATACCAAAAGAATCTAAAGATTGTAAAAAATCTAACAATGATCATCAAATGAAATTGCATTCTCAACAATTTAATGGCTATTCAAGCTACAAATTCAAGTGCACCTGCCGCGGATAATCTTCTTGCATTCTTTGAAACATCCTCAGCCACAAATGAAGTAGCAACACTAAGGAGAGGAATATTAAAGAGTTTTGAGATTATATTAAAGAGAGATATAGAGACACCAGCAGAAGCCAACTCCACAGAACCTATAAATGGAAAATTGAAAACAATGACCATGTGATGGGGAAAAAATAACCAAATTGAACATCTGATTCAGTAGCAGCAAGCTCCAACATTTGAAATAAGAATGAAAACACAAAACCATGTTTTTAAGAGTTATGATCTATGAAATCTGAGAAAGGTTTAGTTTATATATGGTAACCAGTGTTGTTTAATACATTCAATCTATCTCTGTACGTTATATCTAGGCAACCGGGGGGGGGAGGGGGTTTACATCCCCAAGTTAACACTACAATCATGACAAGGAAACCAAATATCAGGTCTCAGCTTGCGGCACTCCTGGTCATTATATTATAACTGGTGATGCAACAAGCACCAAGGTTTATGAAGTTGGATCCATCACTGTACCTACTTTCAAATACAAGACACTGAAGTACCAGACTTGTCTGTCAACAACCAAGAACATTATATGATCTCCCAAAAAAGGTTATTTAAAAAAAAAATGTAAAAAATATAAAAAAAAATTCTTTTTTACCAGTATGGCAGTCATGTTAAAAGGAAAATAACATATCAGCACAAGTTCACAGATCATACATCATGTAAATAACAGAGCATCCACCTTACCCAGACGGCCAATAAATGCAGTCTCCATCAATTGTACGAGTGGTTCAATGGCCTGCCCCGCAAGTGCTGGTAAAGACAGCATTATAAGCTCATCGATAGCTTCTTTCGATTGAGATGTACTAGCAGGAACTTCTGTCAACGTGCTATTACTTTCATTGATTCCAGAAGAAACAGTCCCGTTCAACTCACTGAATGAAATAAACAGTAAGCACTAATATTGAACGAAGCACCCAATTTCCAAAGATAACTCACTGAATGAAATAAACATATTGTTCAGTTACTATAGCTTATTAACATCTGATAGAGAAGTTCCGATATTAACAACAGAAACAGTTACTATATAATCGCTGCTCACCAAAAAATCATCAGTGTTAGCTAATACAAAGAAATTACACACCGAAAAAACTGAGAGATTGCTTAACAAAAATTGCAAAATTTTGATTTGAATACAGAAGTCCATCAAAATATGGCTTAGAGTTAAACTATGTTTTCATTCCTTTAACTTTCCACGGGGTGGAAAGGGCTCTGGTGAGTATTCACAAGAAACAAGCAAGGATATTTGTGAATCTTTTAACTGATAACCCAACGAAATTATCACAGTCCTCGGCATTTTACAACTTGAGACACTATATCAAAAGCATTCTTCACAAGGTCTGCATCAAATATTGCAAATGTAGCTGTAGCTGCCATAAGCAAATTGGCTTAGAACTTCTAATTGATGCTCAAACTGGCCCTATCCACACTTTAAAAAATCTAGCTTCCCAGTTTTATCTCAAGATTAAGTGAAAATTAGTAATATAACGCTCTGGCTAAGATTAAAATATCATTCCTCAGAACTGCTAAAATCTTAATATGTACCTTCGATCACTTTACACCATGGCAGATACTCTGTATTTTAATGCCCTATCGTGCAGTATCACTCAAATGTATGCATCATAACTCAGAATTCAAATTTCGAGCTGCTAACTTCACTTGCATAAACATTCACACTAGTCATCGTAAATATTAAAGATAATAGGATGAAACAAAGGATATAGCGAAAATATGAATTATCATTGGAAACTGAATACTATAAACAACAAAAAACTAAGCTATCTTATCATATTTACTTATTACAACAAAAGGAGATGGAAGAAGGGTGTCTTACTTAAGTAGACTCAAATTTTCGGGAAGACTTTCCTCTTCGATGACAGAACTCTCCTCAAAATTATAGGATTGCACGCCTCTCAACCGACTGTCGAACCTCGAAAATATAGGCTTCCTATGACGGAAAATTGATGAACTCAAAAACCCTCTTGTATTGTCCAAGGACAGAGAACAACGCCCAACAACAACCTCCACATTTCTCGTCCCTCTCGCAAGAAAACCGCGAAATTCTCTTGAATGGCTCGAAGAAAATGCCCATTTCCGACTGTGTTTATTTGTTAAGGCTCTCGAAACCGTGCCACCACAACTCAAATTTGCAATCACCATTGGAGGTGTTTTTTATTTCAATCAATAGTGAAAATTATGGCTTGCTTTGGTATCCAGTGTATCAGAAAACACACACTGACACGGGGGAGTGGAAAGGAGAGTGCGTAAAAACAAGAAAATCCTAACCCTTTTCCCTTTGACTCTATTTATACGTAATCAAAGGTTCTGAAGAGGATGGAGGAATTGTAGATAGAAGGATGCAGTATTATAAGAAGGATTGCGTGGTTATTCGGGCGATTAAGGTTTGTTTGCGGAGAGGGTTGTGTACATAAAAAAAAACACAGAGAAAACATACGCACAAGTAGGTGGGCCTGTTTTTTTGGCAGTATTTAATTCACCACCCCAGTTGAGTATCCGTATTTTTTCTGCCTGAATTTTTCTGTTGTTTGCCATGGCCCGTTGTGCGATGTCTGTTTAACAATTGCATGGATAGCCTGTGTAACGAGGTTCACGTTGGATTTTAGAACTAATTGTTCCGTAAATTTTACATATACTCACATGGGGTGGCCCTATGTGAATAAAATATTATTATAAAAAATGGGGCCCACCCCAATGTGTCTTATCTGTTGTTTTTATAGATGAAATTCTTCTGTAACTGTAGCATGATTCGTTCATGTTTGCTATTGGCCGTCTCATAAATTAATGTTACTAATGACAATAATAAGAGCAATGATACTGGTACATAGACGTGTACATAAGCGTGTACATAAT